GATGCTTATCCCATTGAAGACATTTCAAGACCTAGACCGGTTCAGTTAAATCGTCCCAAGATTTTCCTGATTGCTTATCCAGTTGAAGACATTTCAAGACCTAGACCGGTTCAGTTAAATCGTCCTAAGATTTTCCTGATTCTTACCCAGTCAAAGGCTTCTCTGGTTCAGTCAGATCAACCCTAAGATCTCTCTGATTCTTATCCCAGTAGAAGACGCCCAAGATTTTTCTCAACGAGCGTTGTTGAAGTTAAAGTCACCCAAGGCTCTCTTACCATTCATGCTAAGGAAGTAATCATCCCTGGTTCTTTCATCGCCGTTTGAAGCTCCAGACTCAGCTCCTGTAACCAGTCAGGACACATCTATATCACACTTCCAAAAATCAGCTCCTGCAACGTGTCAGGTATTCATTTTCTGTTTTGCAGGTATACAGGTTCTCACCAAGGAATCTCCTACGCAATTAAACATTCAGATGGCATCTATAAGCCCATTCCCATCATTGCTAACATGTGAGCGCAAATTTCCGGGCACTCTAGTGTCCAATCATCTTTTACCCTCGGATTACGAAAGGCACGACAGCCAATCTGCATCCTCAGGTCTAAGAAGATTGAACAGGGGCAACTGTTATACCCCAAAATTTGCCCTCCCATATTCCTCAAGAAATTGTCAAGCCAAGCTACAAAATTTCCCAAGGGTTGTGCAGTGCAACAGTCTCCCATACAGTCAAAACTAGGGTTTGTGTGCTGATCAAGAAAATGAAGTGTTCAAAGGCTCAATCAAGTCTCATATGCTTACAAACATGGTCAAGCATCCTCATATCAAGTTTCAAGGCATTCAGCTCAAGATTGCACAGTCAAAACCCTAAATTGCACTACAGTCAACTGTAGGGGCAAAATGGTCATTTGACAGTCAAAAGTTCAAATTTTTGGTCAATATATCATTTTGAAGCCATAAACATCATTTGATCAATGCTTGATCATGATTCTCAAAATTTGGCTCAGAAATCATCAAAGATGCAAAAGTTGCTATATTTGGACAGCTGAAAAAGTCAACTGAAATTGACCAGGGCATAACTTTCACATGGATTATCAGAAAAATTCCATCCAAAGCTCATTTTGAAGAGAAAGACATTTCCTACAACTCATCTTCATACTTCAAGTCCAAGAAATGCTCTCACAAAAAGTTATCAATTTCAACATTACAGGTCATTTTCAAAAGTCAACAAAAAGGGACTTTAAGTCAAAGACCATAACTTGAGATTGGTATATCAAAATGACATGGGACCAAAGGCATTGGTTAAAGGACTCAAAGACCTTTCCAAAATGTCCAAGAACATGTGAAAAGCTTAAAAATTGAGCAAGTTATGCCTTGTAGAAGTTGGGAAATTTTGGTGAAATGGCAAAAGTCAACTATCCTTGAAAATCCAATTTTTGACAAAAGGGCCCCATTTTTTCCACTTGGTTCATCCTTGTCATGCCACACACGTGTCCCATGGTTAATTTCAAGACCAAATATTGATTTTTTTTATTTTATTTAATTTTTGATGATTTAATTCATTTTAATTCTTTGAAAATTCAAATAAAATTTAAAAACCAATGGAATAGTGTCATGTGAACTTGGACAATTTCTATGTATCATGAACCAACTCAAGAAATCAGGCTAGGGTTCATTTGCACACTAGGTCTAGGTTTTGGCTAAAAAGGAGGAAAAATGGTTAATGGAAGAAACCCTAAGACCAATTCTCTCACAAGCATGAATTAAGGTCAAAGAGCAAGCCAATTCCATTCCATGACCATCACTGAGTCAAACCCTAGGCCTAACACATCATAAGATGCGCCCAAACAAGCTTTGGCAATTTGAAAATTTCTCCTTAAAACACAAATCTGAAATCAGTGCTAGAGGATCTTTCAAGCCTCAATTTTTTCCCTAATAGCATCCTGGACAATTTCTGAGCACATCTCAATCACTATCATCAACCAAAACACCTTGAAACGGTAGCTACAAGTCCAACTGTGTCGTGAAAAATTTCAAATCGCATAGCATAATTTACGCGTCCTTGTGCATTTTTGTGGATGAATTCTTATTCCTTACAAAGTTTCTGAGCTAACCATAACTGTTAATTGAATTTTCATGCACTTTTGGCCAAGTTACCATGTTTGGTTTTTAGGGTTTCCAGCTTTTTGAATTAGGGCTTTTAGAACAGAGTAAAATCAAGCCTCAAGATACCTACCGTTGCAATCAGCGTGCTCCAACGAATAAGAAACATGGCTCGCGATGAATTTATGTCCAACAGGATCCTATTCGCTATTTTCTAATATGCCTTCTATAGCAACGGGTTAAAACCGTTGCTTATTGCTTTTGTGTTTCAGAAAAAAAAGAGGAACGAGGACGATGATGTGCTGGCATGCAGGGATTGGGAGGTTCAAAATTTCGCGCGCGCTCCAAGTGTTGTGTTACTTTTCTTTTATATTATTTGTATTACATTATATATTAAATGAAACACAGGTGGCTCAGTGGCAACGCGTTAGGCACATGACATCAAAGACCCGGGTTCAAGTCCCAGGTCTTGCAAAATTCAATATTATTTTTCAACTTGAATTCACATGCAGCGCTAACATTAAAGCTCACCATGCACACTCCTCATCTATTGCACACGTGTCCTAGGAGACTTATCAAAGGGTTCAGAACAAAGGCATATGGTGGACGCCAGTCAACATGCTACACCTGATTGGAAAAGTCAACAAATTGCCAGCAAATGGGCCAGGCTTTTCAGGCCTACACCTCACAAATTTGGGGCTACACCCTCCTGGTTTGCTTTATCATTTTTATTTTTTATTCTTTCTTTAATTTTTTCTTTTTATTACTTTTACTTAATTATGTTTATTTAATTAACCATTTTTTTAACAAAATACAAAAATACATAATAATCAAAAAAATATAAAAAAAATATAATATTTATTTTATTATGATTATTTTCAAATAATAACATGTAAATATTTAGTTTTAACTAGGTTTTCAACTTTAATTCCTTTTAATAAAAATCAAAAACAAAAACATAGAATTAGGTTAATGACTTTTTCCTTTTAACTTTCCTTGTTTTTTGCCATAGTATTAGTGTTTTTCATAATTAAACTAGGGTTGCATTTTAGGTTAGATTTTAATTCTTTTAATAAATAAAAATCCAAAAAAATAGAGTTTAGGTTTAATAACTTTTTATTTTCTTTTTTTAATTTTCCTTTTATTTCAGAATAATAATATTATTTATTTATTTTCATAAATTAAAAATTGTACATAAATTAATTTAGAGTTAAATTAGGTTAAAAGTCAATATTTTCATAATAAACTTAAAAAACATTAGAATTAGCATTTTAATTTTAATTAATTTTTTCCTTTTTCTTTTAAATCTAAAAAACACAAAAATACCATTTTCATTTAATTTTAATTTTAGATAACTTAATTATTTTAATTCCTTTAAAGGGTTCAACGCCCTCGCATTTGATTATTTTCTTTTTCGCGCGTTTCATTTATTTCTTTTGTGAATATAATGTACTTGTACCAAAGCCATGTAATAGCTATTAGACATTTCTTTTCTGCAATTTATTTTAAAACGGGTCTGGATTAATTTGGCGTTGTAGACCCTCGCCCTTTGTAATAGCGTAGGACTTTTATCTTTTCCGCACTTTAAATTCCCGTACTTTTAACTGTTAAACAATAACATGAAAGAATGAATGCCCAAAAATAAAATCGAATCGTTAGATCACCAATGCATGACAAGACAAACAATAAGCTGAAAATGACACACAATTCACACACCACCCCTAGGGTACGCTTCACTGTTGCCTTGCCCCTCGAAAGGTGGTCGTCGAGTAGAAGACGTCTTAGTAAGTCCTCATGATCCGGGAACCCGGCATGAGGGTAGCTTCTAAGGTGTCTTCCTATTGCTCCGGTGATCACCATGTCCCTAAAACTCGAATTGACCCGAACACCTCCAACGGTGGTGCTACCTACCTCTCAATGGTGGGATGGCACTACTTTAAAGGACACTTACACAGACGAATTCCTTAGGGTAGGTAGGTTCTCGTAGATACTTGCTCTCTTCAAAAACAAACAAGAATACTTTTCACACCAACACATTTTCAAAAGCTTTCAAAGCAAATTTTTCAAACACTCTGACGTACGAGTCGAACTGAAATTTTTCAAAGAAACTTTTTCAAACCCACATTGAAAAGCAAGCAAACAATTTTGAAAACACATTGAGCAAGTATCTAAGAGCCCATGGATAACCATGGATAGAAAGGGTGCTAACACCTTCCCTTTCTATAACCTACCTCCCGAACCGAGAGCAATCTCTTTAAAGGAATTTTTCTGTGCTTTTGTCCTTTCCATTTGGAGAAAATAAAAGATGGTGGCGACTCTTACTTCCGCGACATTTCGCGAACCAGCTTTAAAACAGTCAGTTCCAGATCCACCGATCACAGGTGGGGATTAAGTGATAAGTTGTAAATTGGGATTGTTTAGGCTTAGAATTAATACTACTAATAGTGGATTTCTTTCCTGGATTAGTATCCCCTATAGTAGGTGAGTTACACCGAACTAGGTTAATAATTTATTGTGTTATTTAAATTTCTACAATTTATCTTTCTGCACAATCAAGTATTTTTCTATCAGTAGGTGATGTTATAACATCTATTCTGACATCGTGTTTTATGTTGAAACATCAACACATTTGTTTGTAAAAGTACCAGAATTTCACACACACCCGTGTTTATAACCAGCCAAAGCGAGAATTATCCTTATAGTATCCCATCTTACCACATGAGCAAAAACCTCACTATAATCAATTACATATTTTTGTGTGTAACCCTTTGCTACAAGTCTTGGTTTATGTTTCTCTACCTTTCCTTTTTCATTATATTTAGTTTGAAAATCCCATTGACACCAATGGCTTTCACCCCTTATGGAAGATTTTTCAATTCCCGGGTATCATTAGTCTCAATTGACTACAGTTCACTCTCCATGGCCTTCTTCCAAGTGTGTAACTTTATAGCTTTTTCATAGGAACTTGGATCTTCTTTGGAGCTAAACATAGTAATTGTCAAGTTCTGGAGGTGACTAGAATTTTGATTGTCCATATTTTCCAATCCAGTCACATAATCTCTGAGGTAGCCAGGTGGTTTTATTCTCCTTGTAGGTAGATCATTTGAGCTATCATATTCAGTTTCAGAATCTTCACCTGAGTCTTCACTAGCATCATTATTTCCAGTTTCATCATTGATATCAACAACATCATTCACACCATTCTCATGTTGTTCATTTGACAATTCGATTTCACTATTATCTTCAACTTCAATAACATGATCGATTGGTTTGGATGTACTTTGCTCATTCCAATTTCACCCTTTGACTCTTCAAAAACAACATCCCTACTAACAATACTTTTCTCAATGGGATTATATATCTTATAGGCTTTTCACTCTTTACTAACACCAAGAAGGACACACTTGATGCTTTTACTATCCAGCTTTTTCCTGTGAAATCAGGAATATGAACATGAGCTAGGCATCCAAAAATCCTAAAATGATGCACATTGGGCTTGACTCCACTACTACAAATTATGCTTTTAATGATGGAGCTTTCACCTCAGACAATAAAAAATTGAGGGTTTAGGTCTTGGGTAAGCCATGTTTTATTTTTTAAAAAATTAACTTTTTCCCTCAATTTTTAAAAAAACTGAGGGGCTATAGCTATAAGGGAGTTCACTTTGAATCCTAGTCACTGCATTATAATTTTTTTCAATATTTTAATTATTATTTATCTCTTGATGCCTTTCCATCTTCCCTTTTTTATCTTTGTTAATATTTTCTCGTTTTTCATCCGTATTAACCTCAGTTACTTGATCCAACTGAGAGTTAATATTTTTTGCATCAATATTTTCAATAGCCCATTTACTTTCTTTTTTTATTTTGTATATCAATTCCCACTGTTTCAATGAAAAGCCGACGTGATATATATTTTAAATGAATTTCCATAATATGACGCTATTGTGTTTATATATATATATATATATATATATATATATATATATATATATATATATATATATATATATATATATATATATATATATATATATATATATATATATATATATATATATATATATATATATATATATATATATATATATATGTAGGGTTTAATTTAAAACCGACGTGTCACATCTTTTGCATGAAATATTTCATAGAACTAGCTAGTTTCTAACTTTTCATTTACCTATCAATGTTAATTTTGTCATTCTCTTCGCAAAAAACCTAGGCAAATTTCATCATCACTCTCACCAAGACTCTTCCAATAGATATTCATAAAAAATTGAACGTCATCTCTATTCCAACCAAAACTCATTTGAGGTACATACGTTGGAGGTTTATATCACGTTGATGTTTATCCACGTTTTTTTTTCTTGATCATTTAGTTTTTCCAATTTTTTCACTGAAACATTGCTTTTTTTATTCAGGTTGTTTGATTAACTGAAATAGTTTCTCTTCTTCATTTTGATTTTCCATTGCTTTTCTCTTGTTCTCTTGATAGTCATGGTTGATTTGACAAACACCTCCCATACAACAGCTGATGTAACCTCTATTAATACTAAACATAAAAGAAAAATTAGAGGTGCCACAATCTATAACAAGGTAAAAAAATCCCGCAAAAGTGGTGTTCTCTACCAGGTTACAATTGATATAGAAATTGACAGAGCTTATGGAAGTAGCGGAGCCAAGGCCCGGCCATGTGGGGCACCTTCCCGGGCTCTTCCTCTGTTCACCATGTCAACGATGGGGTTTCACCCACCGATCATAGTCCTATCTCCCCCAACAAACGCACTGTGAAGATTTTCACCAAAGCTTCCCCAAATAACTCCCTCTATATCTGTCGCGGCAAAATGGTTCTGGAACCCTCAGATCCCTTAGATCAACACCAATATTTATTCAAGTTTGCTCTACAATTTGGTCAGGACAATTTAAAATTTCTATCGTTGCTAGCAAAGTTTGCGGTTCTGTTTCATGTTTGTGTTTTTGGTTTTTTATGGTAAGCTATTTTTAACGGTTTAGACATCGTTTTAGGGTTTGCTATAGCTTGCTTGTGATCCAATTTTTGTGGGAAATTTGGATTGAATTAAATAAACAGCAAGCAAATAACATTATAGCAATGAATGGGATGAGCAAATACCGATAAAAATTAAGAAAATGGTGATCTCGTCTTCGCTTGCAAGGTGCTCAATAAAATGCCACAACCAATTTTCTTGATTCTTTTGCTTGTTTCAATTACGCTTCTTGATTATCATTTCAATTCAGCTTTTTTATTTGTTTTGGGAGTTCAATAAAAAACTTTTTTTGTTCTATGTCAAGTTTGGCATTAGCTTAAATAAGTGATTATTCTAATAAGATATTCTTGCTTGCTATGTCTGATTCAATTTCAATTTAATTCTAATGTTAACAATATATTAAGGATGTTGTTAATGTTGATTTTTATGTTGCTATTCTTTACTTGAATTTGTTTAAATTATTGGAGAATTTTGTCTTTCTACAATTTATTTGTTTTGAACATGAAGGTAAGTAGTTGTAGACAACTAAGGTTGTTATGTTTTTCTGCATTTTTTTGCAACATTTTGTCCGCACAGGCTGATAGCATTGGAATGTGTTATTTTTTGTTACTACCAGCTAGTGGCTACTACTTTGTAATCTTGGTGTTTGTTTACTTGGGAAAATGTGCTAGCTTTTATGTTTTAAAATAAAACTCAAATGGTAAAATAGACCCTTTATTATATGCTAATGGAGAAAGTGGGAGGATATGGTTGAATAAATGAACTACATATGGGAATTCAATTTGACATGGAAAGGTTCACTCCTGAACTAAATACGGGGATCTAATTTGTGGTTTTTTAAATTTTTGCCCAGGCTTCATAATTTTTCTGGTTTCGCCACTGGCTTATGGTGAACATGTTGAAGATTTTATGGGTTACATTATGTTACAAGGTAGAAGTAAAGTGATTATTCTGTTAGATATTTGACACGAAATTGACGATGACTTAAAATACGCTATATATAAGGATGTTACGATATTTATTTTGAATTTTATGCATTTAGTATATATGATCATTTAGTTTTTGTTTAATATATACTAATAACATCTCTATTGTGTAAACATAGAAAGTGTTTATTGTTAGTCCAGATGATAGTATCGTGAAAAATAAATTGCATACATATTGTGGTGAGCACTGGAGGGGCTTTATCTAGAAAATCAATTCAACACTTTATTGAAATGCCTCAGATCCGACAATGGGATTGAATTTGTTGTCTAAACTACTTTCTTTATGCCTAAGGGCATCATTCATCAAAAGTCCTACATTGAGACCCCACAACAAAACGGCATCGTTGAGCGTAAACATCAACGTATTCTGAATGTGGCACGATCATTATACTTCCATGCTAACATTCCTCTCTCTTTATGGAGTTTCTGCATCCAACATGATGTACATATCATAAACAGAATCCTAGTCCTTTACTAAAACCCAAAACTCCTTATGAGTTGTTACATAAATCACCCATACTCTTCTTCATCTCAAAAATTTCGGTTGCTAAGCCTATGCAACCACTATCCAAGCTCACCGAACCAATTTTTATCCTAGAGCAAGAAAATGTATTTTTATTGGTTACAAAGCTAGAATCAAGGGATACACACTTTATGATCTCCAATCTCATGACATTTTCCTTTCACGAAATGTCATATTTTATGAGGATGTTTTTCCCTTTAAGTATTTTTTGACTCAAAACTCTTCCCGAGATTACCAAAGTATTCCTTTATATGATGTCTCAATGGACAATGATGACATCTCCCCTTTGTCCAATGGTTCATTTCCCAACACCAATACTAATCCCACCATCACACCCGTTTCTGAAACTTCTGACCCTGTTTCTGCTATAGTAGACCAATCACCAGTAGACCTATCACCCATAAATTATGTACCAGTCTAGTCACCTATAAACCGTTCTGACTCAACTTCACCTTTAGCAGACCCACATCATCCCATCCTATTCTAGCTAATGACAGTTCTGATGTTAGTACATATATTCCCCTTAGAGTTTCAAGTCGTATCAACAGACCTCCAAGCTATTTGAAGGACTATCACTACAATACTCTATCTAGCTGCACTAATCGAACCTCTACTTCTATTGCCTATCCACTTTCATCTGTTTTATCATATAATAATTGTTCTCCTACATACAAATTATTTTGTTGTTCTATTTCTTCTCACATTAAACCAAAAACCTGTAATCAAGCTTCCAAGTTTGACTGTTGGAAAGAGGCAATAAATGCTGAGATTGCAGCTCTAGAAGTAAACAACACATGGAATGTTGTGGATCTCCCTTGTGGCAAGATTCCAATAGGTTGCAAATGGGTGTATAGAATCAAATATCATTCTAATGGTTCCATAGAGAGGTACAAAGCTTGCTTAGTGGCCAAAGGCTATATACAAATGGAATGGATGGATTACTTTGATACTTTTTCACCAGTAGTTAAGATGACTATTGTGCATGTTTTATTAGCAATTGTTGTTGTTCAAGGTTGGTATATCGAGAAATTGGACGTAAACAATGCATTTTTACATGGTGACTTACATGAGGATGTTTACATGACTCTTCCTCCTTGTTATGCTAACAATTCTTCAAAAGTCTGTAAATTGAACAAGTCACTATATGGCTTGAAACAAGCCAGGCGCCAATGGTATTTCAAGCTATCCATTGCCCTTGTTTTTATGGGTTACCAACCTTCTCAGGCTGACCATTCCCTCTATATAAAGTCTCATGGTTCTTCCTTTACAACTTTAGTGGTTCATGTTGATGAAATCGTTTTGGCATGTACATCTCAAAGAAATTAAATCAGTCAAACACTCTCTTGATCGACAATTCAAGATCAAAGATCTTGGCCAGCAGGTTTTTTCTTGGCTTGGAAATTGATCGCTCTTCCTCTGGTATCTTTCTAAACCAATGTAAGTATGCTCTTGAACTCCTTGAAGATTTTGGCTTTCTTAGTGCCAAGCCTACACCTGTACCAGTTGATCCTCACACCAAACTGTCTGCTACTGATGGCGACCCTTTTGATGATTCATCCAGCTATAGACGACTCGTTAGTAGGCTCCTTTACTTGACTCATACAAGGCCAGACATCTCTTTTGTTGTCCAAAATCTCAGTCAATATGTCACTATCATACTGCTACTCGCATTTTACGTTACTTAAAATCTTGTCCAGCCTAAGGAATTTTCTTTTCCAGCCACAATCCATTACAACTTCATGGATTTGCAGATTCTAATTGGGCTTGTTGTCCCAACACCAGATGATCTAATACTGGATATTATGTTCTATTTGGCGCTTCATTAATTTCCTGGAAATCTAAGAAACAAAATAGGGTTTCTCGATCTTCTACTGAGGCAGAATACTATGCTTTGGCATCCTTAACATGCGAGCTACAATGGCTTCAATATTTGTTTAAGGATTTTCAAATCTCTTTTCTACAACCAACTTCCTTTTATTGTGATAATAAATCTGCCATATATCTTGCTTACAATCCAACCCTTCATGAGCCTAGCAAGCACATTGAGCTGGATTGTCACATCATTAGGGAGAAATTGCAGTCAAAGCTAATCCACATGCTATATGTACCTTCAAATCGCAGATGGCTGATGTGTTTACCAAACCCCTGCACTCTCCTGTTTTTTCATCGATGGTGTCCAAGTTAAGATTGTGTTCCATCCACCATCCAACTTGAGGGGAGCTATCAACTCACTACAAAAAAAATGTTATTTGCCAGAGGTTTAACCCCTCACAAACGCAAAATTTGCGAGGGGACTGGTCCCCTAATAAAATTATTAATAAATATGTTATATAAACAAAATAATATAAAATAGATATAAAATCATATAAAAATCACCTTAAATAAATGAAGATGAAGGATTTGAAGATGAAGAAACAATGGAATGGAAGAAATAGAAGGAGAGAATGCTGTAAAAAATATGAAAGGGGAAGGGAAAATATGGAAAGGGAAGCGAAAATATGGAAGAAATAGAAGGAGATCAGATTTAGATATATAATGAAAATGGTGTGGGAGCACCCGTGGCAAATCCAACGGTTACAAATTGCCATGGGATGCCCCTCGCAAAATGTATTTTATATTTCCAAAGTCTGCACGACTGCACATGTTCTGACTGATTTGACTATACCATAGTGCCAATTGCGAGGGGATGCTCCTCAAAAACTTAACGTTCTGAATTTGACATGGGATTCTCCTCGCAAATTACAAAAGCAATTTTGACAGTCTGGCCGCTAGTGGCAATTTGCGAGGGGTTACCCCAAGTAAATGCTACTATGTGATTTTATGTTGTTTTACCTCTCGCTAAATGTAAAGCGGTTAAAAAATTTAAAATTCAAAATTCCCTCTTCATGAATTGTGACGGATATCCCCACGCCATTAGTTTTTTTTATTTTGTTTTCTGATTTGCCAATTGCGAAGGATTTATCCATACGAAAATATTGATTTTAGTGAGAGATAAAATACCTCACAAATAACCCTGACTAATATTACTTTTTCTTATAATGATTTTACTATAGTTAACTTAGTCTAATTAATTAAACAATAAAGTTAACTTAGTCTTGTTAATTATTCAACTGTAATTAGTTAATCTCTTTGGTAAACTTGTTGTATATAAAGTATCAATACCAATGTAACAGTATCATGATTAATCATTCTTCAATAATCAATGCAAATATGAATTCTCTTCATTACTTTGATCCTCTTGTCAACAAAAATAAGACTGTTATTTGTTTTTCTATCATTAAATCGTAACTAACTTACAACGAAACTTCGATAATTTGAGACAGGTCCTGATATGACTTTATAGTTAAAAAAAAGCAGTTGGATTCAACTTTTAAAACATGTATGGAAACCATCTTTTACCAGTGGGAATTGATAACTTTTTAAAGTATTATGGCGTTTTAATTATTTAATTATTTAATTATTTGACACTACTTTCACACCATGTATACTCAGAATTAATAATATAAAATTTTAACTCGCTTTTCACGCTGAAGATCATCAGGTCATTCAATCAACGTGTTGCAATGGATGGCTGCCCATAGAGGAAGTTAGGTAACAATTATTATGTGAATTATTTTTCTTCAACATACTATATGTTATTTTATTTAAAATATATCATATCATATTATTATTTTAAGTTTAATAATATAAAAAAATATTAAATTTGATTGACTTTTAATTATATAAACAATTTCACAAGCGAATAAAAATAAGATACCAAAACTACAACTAAATCTTATTTTTAAGTTGAATTATTAATCTATTGTTAATATATATTCTATTTTTTTAAAGACAGATTAGACAAATAAAATATCGAACAAAATAGTAAAACATAACAAAGAAAATAAAAAAATTTAGTAAAAACAAAAAATATCTGAGATTTAAAATTAAAAAAAAAAAAACTAATCTAAGAAGAGAAAACCAAAACAAGAACACCATTTTAAGGAATTTCATTATAATTATAATTGATTGTAAATGTTTAAGCACACAAGTAAAAAAACTTCCAACGTTCAAATATACAAGAGACTTATAATGCTCAAACACACAAGTAAGAAATTTCGTATGCTCAAACACATAAGTAAGAGACTTCTAACAATCTAACTTAAAAATTATTTGAATAATACACTTGATATACAATCAGAGGTGTAAACTGAATACAACTCAATAAGACTCTTAAGACTTAAGAATTTTTAAGATATACAAATGTTAAGAAATTCTAAGTTAAACTTGTGCTTTTGATTTGACAGAGTAACAACTCTTTTGATTGTCAAGGATTGGTTATTTTTCTTCAAGTCTTCAACTCCTTATATATAGAGACAAAAAAGAGTCGTTGATAAAAAGAACTTCCATAATTGAGTCTTGGAGAAGCTTGATCATAGATGCTAGAATATTTATGGATATCGATAATGCCATTGAAAAGGCATTTTAATTTCCTCTGCTTCAAGAGGAATTATCTATTACATCTAAATTGTCTATACAGATTTTTGTTTGCATCTGCACATCACTACGCCAAAAAGTTTTTAGGCAGCACACTTTAGACAGCGCTTCTATATCAAAGTGTTGCTATATGTCACGATAAAATTTTAAATTTTAAATTATATATATTAGACAACACTTTAAAAAAAAGTGCTGCCTAAAGTTAAGAAAAGTGATGCCTAAGCCACACTTTAGGCAGCGCTTCATGAAAGCGCTGCCTAAGATCAATTAAAATTGAAATAAAAAAATAAATTCTAGAAGCGCTTCCTAAACTCAAAGTGCTGCTATAGGCCCAATAGTAGAAAGCGTTGTCATAGACCCAAAACGCTGCTAAAGGCCTACTTTAGAAAGTGCTTTTAAGAAGCGCTGCTTAAGGTCATACATACCCACAAAGCGCTGCTAAAGGATGTGTTCAGAAAGCGTATCATATAAGCGCTGCTATAGGGCATACATCAGAAAGCGCTTTTTAGTGAGAAAGCACTGCTAAAGGTAATACATCAGAAAGCATTTTCTGAAAAGTGTTGCCTAAGGTCATTAATGTCTTATTTCTAAATTAAAAAAACAAAAACCCTAAAACTCAAAGGTTTTCGTTATCTCTCAAAACAGATTTCTATGCAACGCAATTTCGAACATTCTCTCAAACAGATTTCAAACATTTCTCTACAACGCGATTTCAAACAGATTTCTCCAACAACGATTTCTCCAATGATTCTTCAACGCGATTTCTCCAACAACGATTCATAACAGTCGAACACGATTCATAACTATAAGTTCTGTTTTCTTTTCCTCGATTCATCAACGCGATTCATCTCTGTTTTCATATATTGCGGTAGTTGTTGTTGTTTTTGAAATCGTGAGTTGCAGAGATTCAAAGAGTTTGTTGTTAT